TATGAATTTCAAGATTTGCATGGAAAGGTTTTGGGATAGAATTGTGTTGGAGACTGATTACATTAACCAATTTCAATCTAAAAAAGAAAGATAAAAAGTAATTGGAAGCTTGAAGGAAATGTTATTCTTTTATATCTTTATTATTTTTATTTTTATTTTATTATTTTTAAGATAACATATTAATATGTAATGGTTATTTCACGGAGATGAAAAAAGTTTATTTTACATAAAGTCTTTTTTTTTTGCTTACGATAAAAAATTACAATTTACCTTTTGCACCCCAAACAAGCATCTCAACCTATTTTACTAATGCAAGTTTGCTCCTTTCCCAAAAAGTTTCCGAGGCTTCGATTTCTACTTTACCAGTTGATTCTATTCCTCAAAGTATTTCAAATACTGAAAAATCAACTCGAAATTGGGTTACTAAATTTGAAGAATTTTGCAAGAATTATAATTATATTATGCCACTTGATAAGATTACGAATTCCGAATAAATTGAACAACAGGTCATAGAAGCATACAAGGTATTCGTGCGTATAAAGAAGTAAATGAAAAATAACATCTTGCTGCTATGGATACTTTGATCCATGCTTTAGATCAATTCTTGGCGATTCAACTTCAATTAATAATTCTTTAAAATAACACGAGATGTCTGTCGTTCCTTCGATACTACCTTGATCTGATACTTTTTTAGCATAAAACCATCTTCTGTGTCCTCAAATCGTGAAATGAGCAAAGAATGTTGTTCACCATCTCTAGTACAACCAAATAAACATATCCACGATAAAGTAAACCAGTTAGATTATTTGGAGAGCAAAAATTGTGATCCAATATTAATTTAACTTCTTGATTAGTTAAAGTATCATATGGTTTAGCTTCGCCTGGTTTTGTTTTCCGTTGTCCATCTAAAATACCATTTAATTTTGAAAAGGAGAAAGTACTTTTGATGAAAATCCGGAAATGAGATTGCCAGGATATAAATTAGAATAAACGTTCGGGTTTGCTTCTTGGTATCCTTACAGTGGCAAAGAATTATTATCTAAATTCAGAATAGTATCGCCAACTTTTACTTTTTTCATGTCCTGAATGTTGGCAGTAAAATGAACCGATTTCTCCCGTGACTAATTTGTCTTTTAAAACTTCTTTTGGTGTTGTTTATTTTGCATAAGTTGTAGTTCCAATCTTTTTTGACATTTCTGAGGTGTCAACTGATACTAGCAATAGCATTCTTAAGTGATGATTTAGAATATAGTTGTTTTTTTTTTTTGAAAAGCGAAAACTTTCTTTATGTCAATGGAAAATCCTGTTATCATTAGAACCCTGCTATTGCTAATGAATATACACAATATTCTGTAGCAACTTCTGTTGCTCGTTATTCACCTAGTGTTTATTATATAACGTCTGATGGTAAATAAATAAAATAAACAAAAGATATAATAATAATAATAACTGTTTAGTATATGCACGTATATATGTTTAACAAGATATTCATGGCAATCTCAACCAGATTTTAAAAACTGAGGTAAAAGTAATTTCAGGGACTCTGAAAGTAAAAGGATTGTTGCTGTTGGTTATGTTAAGTCAAAACAAGGGAATCCATTTATTTATTTGTGACAAAATTCTTATTAATTTTTTCGTTTGACACTGGATCTTCTGTTGGACATACAAAAACGATCAATACTCTTGATATTCGTTAAAAAAGATCTGATGATAACCGTGTAGGATTTATTTATTAACTAAGCGCGTAAAATTAATATCATGACCAACCGAGAATTAATCAATAAACGTCGAGTAGTATTTGATTAATGAAAAATAGATACAAGTGGCAGTAGTGTGTTCCCACATCCAGAAGGTATTTGTCACGATGTTGATGTCATTCATCGGAACAATAATCCTTTTAGAGAGAAACAAAAATTCACAAACAGAATCAAGAGATTAATTGACAATGAAAGAATTACTGTAAATAATTTATTTCTTTATTTTTACATTTTACAGAAAATTATTTTTTACACACATATTATATTTCTTTCCTTTGACATGGAAAGAAACAATTAAAAAAAAAATTTTAAATAACTTTAACTGGTTCAACATTCCAAATACTATCTGCATATTCTTGAATAGCACGATCACTAAAAAGCGAAACAAGAAGAAAAAATTTAATTGATTATTATTACCAGAAATCATAAAAACCGTAATGATAATTAATACTTACGAAGAAAATTTGCCCATAAGAGCAGTACAAAGAATACTTTTCTTTATCCATCCATCTTCATCTTTATAAGCTTCATCAATCATTTGTTGTGATCGAAGATATGAACCAAAATCGTCGGAAATTAAATAATAATCTTTTCCTATTGTTAATGTACTGATTAATGGAGAGAATATTCTTGGATCACCGAATTGTCCAGATTCGATACTTGCTAAAACTTCTTTTAGTTTTGGATCCATCTCGACATTTCGATATCTTCAGAGAAAATAAGAAGGTGTTGGGACGGGAGAAAATCACAAATAAACAATATTAATATCTATTCTATACACCCTCTCTCTCCCTTTAAATATAGATACACACCTATGAGCATGTCTTAAATCGTCAACAGCATCGGCCAAGTTTCCAAACATGAAAATATTTTCATCGCCAATTTCTTGGTGAATTTCAATATTAGCACCATCAACTGTTCCAAGAATCAAGCCACCATTCAACACAAATTTCATATTGCTTGTACCGGAAGCTTCTGTACCAGCTGTTGAAATGTGTTGTGAAATGTCTGAAGCTGGAATGATAATTTCTGCAACTGATACATTATAATCTGGTATAAAAACAACCTAAAATTAGAGAAATATTAACGATAATGATGGATTGATGAATGAATGAATATTAATTAAATAATTTAAATGTTAATTTTAATTTTAAATAATAATAATCATTATAATAATTATATTCAACTTACTTTCAAAGAATCATAAATACTTTGATCATTATTAACAACTTCTGCAACACTGTTTATCAATTTTATTACCAATTTAGCAATATAATAACCTTTTAATTACAAATAAATAATAATAATTATTATTATTATCAGTAATAGCAAAAAAAAATTTTTTAAATAACAACAATGATGAATAACATTATTGTTTTTAATTAATTTACCAGGAGCAGCTTTACCACCAAATATAACAACACGATGGACAACATTTGAAATTTCATCAGCACTCAATTTTTTCAACGCATTATAACGATGAATAACACTATAACAACATATTTTTCAAAAACATTTTTTAAATTATTGGTTTAAAATAAAAATATAACGTTTCTTTATGTCAAATAATTATTATAATTACCCCAAAATATTCATAAATTGTCTTTTATATTCATGAATTCTTTTTACTTGAACGTCAAATAAAGCATTTGCGCTTACTGCTATATTAGTATGTGCTTTAATATAGTCAGCCAAACGCACCTTTTATATATAATTATAAATAAAATATAAGAATTATTAGTGCAAATGTAAATATAATGATACAATATTATACTAAAAATATTATGTTTGCACCTTATTTGAATGTTTGATAGTTTTCCATTTTTTCTTGAAATCCGGATTATCAGCATATTTTGTTAAATTTTTTAATATGAACAAATCTTTTAACCATTCTTTAGTTTGCAGTGTTTCTGTTATCAAATCACTTAATCTAGGATTTGCTTGATGTAACCATCTAAAAACCAAAGGAAAGCAAAATGAAAATTGATTTGCATTTTTCTTCATATATAAAAAACCATAATATCCACTAAAGAATTAATGAGTGAATACCTGCGAGGAGTAATACCATTGGTCTTATTTTCGAATTTGTCTGGACCATAAAATTTTACAAAATCTTTAAATATCTAATAATGATAATAAATTATAATAATAAAATATGAAAAATCAAAATAATAAAGAATAGATCATTTTTATAAAATGAATTCTTAAACAATTATTATAATAAATAATTTACCGTTTCCTTAATTAATCTTGAATGAAGTTCAGCAACTCCATTAACACGATGTGAACCTACCAAATTTCATGTCAATTAATTGATTAATTAGCATGATAATATGATAACATTAGTAGTAAAAAAATAATTTAAATAACAATCAACATACCAACAATAGCAAGATGTGCCATTCTATTAAAAAAAAATTTAATTAATTTTAATATATACGAAACTATTATTAATATTAAGATTGTTATAACTAGCTAACCTGACAAATTGTGGAGATGCTTCTTCAATAATTGATAATTTGGCTAAAAGATCTCGTTCTTTTGGAAATTTTTTTTCAACTTTTTGTAAAAAGAACTGTCAAGTAAATTAAATAATGAGAGATGAATAAATCAAATAAATAAAAATTAATAAAAATTTATAAATCATTATCTTTTTCTTACAAGATTTAAATCAAATATTATTTGCATATGTCTTGGTAAAAGATATGAAACCATAGGAACTGGCCATTTCTCCATAGCTTCAGGAAGTATAGTGTGATTTGTAAAAGCAAATGTTTTGGTAACAATTTCCCATGCTTTATCCCAATCAAGTCCCTAAATAAATAAATTTATTTTAAAAAAAAAATTTTTAAAGTGAAAATAATATGATAATTATTATATATGACTTACTTCAATATCGACTAAAATTCTTTGAAGTTCAACGATTGCTAGAGTTGGATGAGTGTCTAGTGTATATATATATATTATATAAAAGATACACATGTATTAAAAAAATCTTTTCTTTGGAAAATAATACATGATCAAATGTTTGATTATATACCATTCAATTGAATTGCGACCTAATTAATTAATTAAAAAAATTAAATAAAAATTAAATAAAAATTATGTTAATAATGAAATTAATATATTAAGTTACCTGTGTAGGAAAATCACTCCATGGTCTCTCTGATTTTTTAAACCGGCGAACTCTACATATAAATAAAATATTATTTGAATATTTCATCTCTATCAAAAAAAAAACAAAATCTTCAGATTCAATTTAATTTACATGTCATGAAGACTTGCAGCAACCCAGAAATATTGTTGTTTGAGACGTAATTCTTTTCCAACCATGTGATTATCATTAGGATATAACACTGCAGTTATATTTTCAGCTTGTTTTTGTTCTTGCACAGCTTTCTCATATTCTCCCTCATTAAAATATTTAAGATCAAATTGACGTTTAGGTTTACTATTCCATAATCGAATATTATTACAATTGTTGGTATCATAACCTATATATGAAGTGAATAAATAAACAAATTAATGAAAGGATCAATGCGTGTGGCGTGAACATTTTAAAATTATTTCTTTAAGTTCTCTATTACCTGGAATGGGAACATCGTAGGCAACAGCTTCTACAGTGTCAGAACCCTCCCAGGTATATCTTTCACGGCCTTTTTCATCAGTATATTTACTAACAGATCCGCCAAAGTTAACATCAACTACAACGTCAAGACGTGGCAATTCCCAAGGGTTATCAAAATTTAACCAATAATCCGGAAATTCTACTTGGTATCCATCCTTTAATCTAAAGTGAATGTTTTACAAAAAAGTTAAACATTTTAACATGCTATATTTTCCCATAGTAATTAATATTTCCTTAGATTATATAATCTAATATTTGTTTATTATTTATTTACCTTTGTTGAAAAATGCCATAAGTGTAACGAAGACCATATCCCCAGGCTGGAATATCTAAAGTGGCCAAAGAATCCATATAACAAGCAGCCAGACGGCCTAGGCCTCCATTACCAAGTGCAGCATCAACTTCTTGATCAAGAACATCCTCCATACTAAAACCTAATTCTTTTATTCCCTCTATAACACATACAAAATATGTGAATAATTAATAGAAAAAAAAATTTGATTGATTGATTATTAGATTATTAGATTATTTTTATGCCAATTACCTCCACAAACATCTTTTACTCTTAAATTAAGAAGAGCATTGTCCAATGATCGACCCAACAAGAATTCCAATGATAAATAGTAAACACGTTTAGGATCAACCTCAGTATGCCTCTAAATGGTTAGAGGAATGAAATTTTTATTCATTGATTATTTTAATTTTGCAAGAATTTTAATTTACAAAACAAACCTGTTGGGTATAATTCCAACGTTTAATCAATGTATCTCTAACACTATATAAATATATTCATATATGTAATAATGTATAATATATAATAATAAATGAATTACAACCATTTTTAAAAATTTAAAATCTAAACCTACGTGTGGGCAGTTGCTTGATAAGCACTAAAATTATCAACATTGTAAATGGATCTAGCAAGTGTAGTTGCTACATGATTGACAAATGCTTTTTGGAAGCTTTCTTTATCTGATTTCAAATGATAATCAATTTTAAATTCATTTTTTTTACACACACATGATATCATTTATGAAAATTATTTTGTAATAATTATTTTAGTTTTAATACCATTTGATTCTTGAACAGAATATTTTTCCCATAAACTAAGACAAGTAGTCGGATAATTTTTTTTTGCTGTTAAAAGCTCTTTTGTTGGGACTCCAGTGTGAGAACGTACATGATTTTTTGCTGGTGTTGCTTTTGTTGAATCTATTACCATTTTGGATATATAATTATTGTTTTTTTAAAAAAAATGGTAAAGCAAATTACTATCGATATTTTGGTAATAAATCATTAGAGATTATTTATATATTTAGAAAATTTATTATCCATCCAATTAAATTATCACATTATAAAGTGAGTTGTCATTATTACATCATTTTGCCATTATTAGTTTTATTTATCTTTTTTATCTTGTAAAATCTTTATAAACAAAATTTCCTGATTAAGTAAAGATTTTTCCAAAAAAATCAATTATTTATTAATAATTCTTTTGTTCCATGATGATCGATACTATATAGAGCAATACAATTCAGCATCAAGTATTTCATATTAGCTGTCGACTTGATGAATCATCATCATATTATATTGTAGTTTGTCGTCGTCAAAGATATTTATTCACTTGTCACGAATAATCCCACGAATTTAATGTTGATATTTACTATCTTGTATGTCAGAATGCAGTGTAATCGATGGTTTATACCAATATATATATTAACATAATCTTTCGACGTTCATTACCATGTGAACACATCCTAATTCGTCCTAATTTAAATATATCAGCCAAAAAAAATCGTACGTTTTTTATTCTGCAACAATCACGTAATAGTAATAATAATAATAAAGTAACCAATTTTTTCCTTGATAAATTTTCCTTGAAGCAATAAAATAATACATTGGTGAAAATAAACTCTGATTTTTTCTTTTTTTGTATATAACTTGAAATAACAAAGACTGTACTAAGTTTTTAGATCAGAGGCATAATATACATTCCCTACTCTCATTATATTATGAATTTAATGAGCGACTCTCGATCGATAATCGATAAATTCATAAATTTTTGCTATATTAGTGAACCATAAATGTTGTGTAGCAAAATTTTTTCTCACTAACCCAATACTAAAAAAATATTATGTGATCCACACATTGGGATTTTAAAAAAACCGCCACCATTCAATTCAGCTTTAAAAAAGGGAGTCTATTAATCTAAAAAAAAAAATTTGTCTTAATTTTTCTTTCCATAGATTTTTAAATTTGAAAGTTATGCTCAGAAATACAATATTTTGAATCTCACGACCAAATTGGTAATGATTTTCTTTTAATGTAATATTTTCGTTAAACTTTTTTGTTGTAAACGACTTTTATTTATTAATATTAATAAAAAAAAGGAAATAAATAAACAAGGATCAGAAACTGTAAAAAGTTTATTATTTCAAAATATTATTATGATTTAGCTTTAAAATAAAAAAATAAAAACTAAATAATAAATTTATAGTGGAGATTAAATTAGTCACTCATTGATTCTTTCTCTTAATTACTAGAATCTAGTGTTTATTAATCAATCAAATAAGTATCGTTAGTAATAATTAATG